CCAGGTGGACAAGAGGGCCGACAGCATCTTGGCTTGTGTCAGAAATAGCGTGGCCAGCAGGAGTAGGGAAGTCATCCTTTCCCTGTACCCAGTACTGGTGAGGCCGCACCTCGAATACTGTGGTCAGTTTTGGGCCGCTCAGTTCAAGAAGGACATTGAGCATGTCCAGAGAAGGTCAGCGAAGCTGGTGAGGGGTCTGGAGCACAAGTCATATCAGGAGTGGCTGAGGGAACTGGGGTTCGGTCTCTACAACTGCCTGGCAGGAGGGTGTAGCAAGATGGGTTTTGGTCTCTTCTCCCTGGTAACAGGCAATAAGATGAGAGGAAGTGTCCTCAAGTTGTGCCGGGGGAGGTTTAGGTTGGATACTGGGGAAAATTTCTTCACCAAAAAGGTTGTCAGGCACTGGAACAGGCTGCCCGGGGAAGTGGTTGAATCCCTATCCCTGGAGGTATTTAAAAGATAGGTAGACGAGGTGCTTAGGGACATGGTTTAGAAGTGGACAGGTACTGTTGGACTCAGTCTTAAAGGTCTTTTCCAACCAAATGATTCTATGATTCCAGCTGGTGTAATGAAAGGAGCAAAAATGGTTGGAAGATCCCTTTGGCAGCAGTATTGCTCCATGCTGGATTAATGTGACCTTAAAGTAGGATCTTAAAAATGGAGGAGACTGACTTTTAGCTTGGCATCAAGTTATTTGGCATTTCACTTTTTTTTTTTAAACTCCATAAGCCTCTTGTTGTTATTGGTGGATTTACCTTTTCTCTCACAGGAAGGCTGTGTTTCACATGTCTGCACTATACTTAGACACTGCTGTTTCTCGTTGCTTCTCGGCTTAAATCAAAGAAACAGCATTACCGTTAGTGACCTGTGTGGTGATAAAGGCAAGTGTAGGTAGTTTCTCATTTCAGTCTTCCTGTATAGGTAGCATTGGAAGTTTGTGCTGCCATATTTCCCTTATCCAGGAAACCAAAGATGTCTTGCACTCTGGGATGAAAAGTTGACACAGAAGCATCTGTGTTTTGCCTCTGAAGAATTCCAGTTGAGCCAGTACTGCAGGTTAGAAGCAGAGGAGGTGCTTCAAGATCAGAGGTGTAGGGTCAGTTCAGTCAGAGTGTATTTGTGAGTAGATGAAAATGTAATCTTGGTGTGAAGTCTTGGCATATATACTTCCTGTGTGCTACATCCAACTGCATCTCTAGCATGTGGACTTACTGGTGGAGAAGAGTAACTGTCCTTTGATTTCTGTCCGGTGTCACACTGATACTTAGTTAAGAAAAACCTGAGCTATTAAAATATTCCCAAGACTACAATGCTAATTAGTGAAATAAATAAATAAAATACACACCTTCTTTCACACCTTCCTTTTGAGGAGTTTGTTGCTGTATGTAGAATGCATGCCAGTGGGGGGAGAAAGAAGCAATATAATTCCATGTCCATTAAATCATTTTAAGGTTCTAAGCATCAGTTTTAAGCTTGAGAGAGTGCTGAAGATTTATATGTCACATGATTTTATTTTAGGATGTTTTAGTTTTGATTAAATTCCTGTGCAAAAGAATTAAAGCAAAAGTAGCTTGAAGACCATCAAAACAATGGCAGTCTAGCTATTTCTGAGAACAAAATTAGGATTAGCTTTTATCCCAAGTAAGTTCTCTGGTAAAAATTGTTGAATTATCTTAAAAAGAGTTTCTTCCACATTCTGATTGTAACCTTTACATTGATTACTGTGAAACTGTAAGGAGAATTAAAACTGTATGTTGTAAACATCATGTTGAAACTTTAAGGAGAAATGTTTGAAGTCAATGCGGTAAGTCAAAACAACTTGTTTTCTTTTCCAGAACTTTTAAGAATGTAGTTTGCTTTTTATAACTTTAAAAAAAAAAAAAAGTCCAATCGCTGCTCGTGTTTTACTGTTTTATTCTCTTGTGATGGCATGCCTGGCACCAGTTCTGCTCTCAAAAGATAGAAGTCAAGCGATTCATTCTAGAAAATCAGTTAAGCAGAAATTTTAAAAGCACTTTTTGCAGATTAATTTTGATATTTCTCAGTGCTTTTACAAAGCATAGGCATTTTCTCATGTTGGCCCAGAACCTTCTTTAGAAAAAAGGACTAAACATGCCCATAGCAGAACTTTAAGAATGGGAGGTTGTCAGAGTAGTTTTTCATATTTTAAAGACAGGTATGTGAAAGAAGAAGTGAGGCTGAAACTTACATAGTTTTTCTTCTTTGTTTTGAAATGTTCTGTAGTTTCACTCAGAAATACCCACCGGTGAAATTTTTATCGGAAAAGGATCGTAAAAGAATCCTGGTAAGTTGGTATTTACTCAGGGGTTGGTTTTGGGAAATAAAAAAAATTCTGTGGAATGTAATCAGTCTTAGAGGATTAATTAAAGACATGAGCAGGAATAAAATAAGCTACCTTGCATGTCATATGTGCACAGGGTTTAGAGTAGTACTTCACTTACTCTGTGTTGATGTTCTCAAACTCAGCAAATGGATAACACACTTGGGCTCTGGTTTGGAGGTTTGACTTGCCAGTTAAGCTACTGTTTTCTACTTGTAACATCTCAGGACTGCATTGCCAAAGGGTCTTTTCATCTTGTGCTCCAAATGGCTTAAGCTTGCAGAGACTGGGAAACTTTTTAGGTACGTCTTGACAGAAAGCTTGTGTCACTGATTTGGACAAAATCTAGTCATAAGGCTAGAAAAGTAGCTGCTCTGCAGCACTGTTAAGAAGGAGCAGTTAATTAGACTGAGGGAGAGTTCATCTCGGTTAACTTCTGTGTTGTTTCTGGTGTTTTGAAGCATCACGAGTGTTTTAGGGGTGAAGACGAAGGCAGGTTTAGTCGGGACAAGTAGTTGTCCAAGGCATTCTTAAGCTCAGCAAATTGTGCTGCAACATCAGCTTTCCAGTTTTGTCTAAAACCACTTCTGAAGTTAGCTGTGTCCTGATTTTTTTCTTGTTTCTGTCTGACCTGGGGAGAAAAATATCCCCACATTTTAAAGATGCAGAGAAAGTATAGCTACGTAAAATGTGTAAATATAGAGGTATGAGTTTCTGCCTCTGTAGCGGAGGGTGGTGTCTGAGACAAATCCCTGCTTCAAAATTTTGAAGAAAAACACTGAAAAGATGCAATTAAAACCAAATTTTGGTTTTACTGCTTTATTAGACGATCATCTTCTCTGCTACTGCAAAACTTCATAAAGAATAAATTATCAAATTAGTTTAGTTCTTCAGTGTTATTCTGTCATTTTTATGATGGCCTGAAAGGAGACAGAGCTGTAGGATCCCTGTTCTCTTGTTGAATGTGGAAGGTACACTGAGGAAAACATCAGAGAGGGTCTTAATTCTGAAAATTCCCAGTTGTGTGCTCATGTGTCCCAAGTTTAGTAAAGTTACCTTTTTTACAAGCAAGAAGGTACTTTCAAGAAACGTATCGGTATAAGCTCTTAATAGGCTATAGAGCTTTTAATATTAACTTTTAAACTTTGCCTCTTAAAGATACCGGATATTTTGAAGTCTGTTGCTTCAACAGTGATGGCAAGTAGTTGGAATAGGAGTGTTTTCTGGTGATCTGGAGGCGAATAGCTCTTTGGTGTCCGTATTATCTCTACAAAAGAAGAAAGGTGGCCAAAAGGATTAATGAGTTGTTCAGTCATTTCTTCTCTGTCATGCTTGGGGACTAGTTCAGTGGTAACTCAGATGGGCTTTTACAAGCCTTCTGCCTGTGTGGGCAGTTCTGTTCTGTTAGAATGTCACTGTCATAAGCCTACAGGAAAAATGTTCTTTAGAGTAGCTGATGTCAGTGTATTGAGGACTCGGGTAGACCTTGCATGACACTTGGAAGTTTCTCAGGATTAAACACAAGAATCGGCAAGCCAAGTGAGCTTTGTTAGATGATTTGCTTCATGTTTTGTTGATACTGCATCTTTTCCTGGAATCCATTACAAATTCTGATTTTTGTCTGAATGCAGTCTCCGCAGTGCTGACCGGGTCAGACAGCAGTTCTAGCAGTTATTTTTTTATTACATGGCATCTGTTTGGAGATGTGCTAGTAGGGGTGGTATTTCAGCTGAGACTAGACACTCTGGCACTTTTCAAAAGAACTCAAGTCTTTGTCCAGTTGTGCATGGTTTATCTACTTGCTCAGTTCCCTGAAGTGTCTGGGCCACAGGCTTTCCTATGCAAGAGAAGGAATTCTGTTAACATTATGGATGATAGTGTTGACATTGGTTCAATCTGTTGTGTGTTTTTTTCTGAACTGAATGTGGTAGACAAATGAAAGCAGAAAATAATAAAAAAAATCATTTCCATATGGGACATTAGATGTTTTGAATCTGACTGCAGACAGCAGAAATTAACCCATCTAGCAAAGCCACAAACTTTTAAGTGCCTCTAGTGGAGGAAATTATCAGTAATGTTTGTGCCTTTTAGTAGATGCTGAAGTTACCAAGCCATATTGGCACTCCTAAGTAATTAAATATTTTTATTAATGATGTCTTATTAAAAATGCCTATTTAAGCCCCAGATGCTGGTGCTTCAATTCTGATATGGAAATGATTCACATACAGTGTATGATTTTGTAGATTAATATGTCATTGTGATTTGCAAGAAGTCATATTTAGAAATGAAGAATATTGACCTTGGTTTTATGAGGGTTTACAGGAAGGTTATACAGAGAGCTTCCGTGATAAATCATCTTTTTTTTTTTAATGTAGCCTCAAGTAATGATACAAAAATTAATTTACATAGTTGTTTACTTTTCCAGGGGAAATTCAGCTCCTTTTCCAAGTAGTTTTTTATCTAATACCTATGGAAGTGATATGTTAATAAAGCTAACATAGATTTAACATAAAAACTAGTTACAGATTTAAGGTAATTGGAAACCTTTTTCTGGACAAAATTGGTTTGTGCTTTTTTTTTTTTCTTGCTTGCATATAGCATAGAAGAGTGCTGTAAGCAGTGCTTGGTTTGGTTTATGTTTTTCTCCAAAAGGAAAATGGGGATGAAGACGCCTTCTTTTTCTGCATTAAAGACATATTGCAAGCATCAAGTTTTTCTTCTCTGGAATCCTGGAAGTAGAAGTAGCAGCAGGGGATTTCCTTGGGCCTCAGTTGAATTAATAGGTTCGGGTCATCTACAGAAAACTTTTGTCCTGCTCACCACAAAAAGGCACAACTCTTGGAACATTCAGCAAGGCTGCAGCTTGCTTCCAAGTCAGGATAAGCTTATGGCAGTAGGTTTTCCATGCGTATTATTTTTCCCTTGGTAAGCGGTGGCACCTGGCAGAGGGCTGTTCTCCCTCAGTTACTACCCTTCTTCTTTCCTTGTTCACAGCATTCTTCCAGAAACCTGTTCTTCCCTCCTGTTTGTTCCGGAATAGTGGGACCCCTGAGATTATCTCTATTTTTTCAGAAAGGGCTTCTTCTGAATCCTCTTTCTCCTTCAGGTTTGCCAAGGAACTAAATCACATACTATATCTGCTACAAGGAAGCCCTGATAAACCCAAAAGAATACTAGATAGACCAAGTAAATGATTCTTTTATTTATTGGTACTTACAATGTCTTTGACATGCTGATGGCCCTGAATTTTTAAGAAGAAAACCAAATGTGAGAATACAAGAAGGGGACATTAAAGTTTTTACAGAAGACAATGCATGTAGTTATCTTTTTTTTCCTTTTCAGTTTTTGATAGCTTTCTATTTGCCTTTGTCTTTCCTGTTGTGTTTTTGGTTTTGTTTTTTTTTAAATTCTTCTAATCTGGCTTTTTTCAATAGTGGATGGGGAGGATAAATGTTTAGAGTTTGACTAGCCCAAAGGGAAAGAACTTCAGGCATCTACATCCTTCTCCATGCAGCGCTTTTTCATTGTGGCACATCATTTATTCATTATATTCCTGCTTGATGGTTTCACCATGTCCTTTTGCTGTTGATTAGTTGTCACGGCAGCTGAAGAATGGAGATCAGCTGAATCACTTCCAAAATGTGAATTTGATTATGCAGTCATACAATTTAGCTGATGCCACACAGGGCTTTTACAAGTCCCTTCATTCTTTGAGTGGTGGTCCGTCATGTCTTTGTACGTTCTTGAAAACAGCTTATGAAGTGCAGAGAAGGTGATTTCTTCCATAGGTATGTCTGTGTCGCACACCTTGCAGCTCTACTTACTGCATTGACTGCTTCAGTACTGAGTTAGTGATTTTTTTTCTTTGTTTACTGTTAAAGACTGGGATGCAGAAAGAGGAAAGATAAAGAACTTCCTTGCTTCTACGTCTGCAATGGAACAAGAGTACAAGTTTTAAAATATTTTATTTCTGCCTATTTCTTTGCAGTAAAACATTGTAATGTTTCCAAGACAGGCAAATGCAAAGATGTTGAAGCTAATGGTATGAGAGACTGAAAACAGAATGATAGGATGTGTGCTATGGATGCATTGAAACACAAAAGGAATAATTTTGGTTTTAGCAGATATTTCAAAAGAGAGATCTTCAAAGACTTGCTTTCGTCTAGGAATATGCTTCCTTCCTTCCCTCTGCGAAGGGTGAAAGAATTTGTAATACTTAGAACACCTAACATGTCTTCCATTTAAACCAAACAAAAGCTGTATTTGACGTTTCTGATATTACAAGTCTTCCACAAAAATGACATGGCATTCTGTCATCTCTTTTCTGAGAAATGAGAATCGCAGAGAATTCTCCTCTTACCTTTTGGGGTCTTTTTAGGCTTTGCTGTCTCATAAAAGGGCACAATCCAATTTGAAGGAAAAAAAAAAAAAAGGAAAAAATCTCATCTGAAAAAGAGATTTTGATAATGTGAATGGTTAGCAGAACTTCTAGCCTGACAGTGATGAAACGTGTCAAGCATCTCTCTTGAAATTTTCAACACTGTAAATACTGGATTAAAAAAATTAGGCATGGAAATGGAGTTGTTTCCCCTGGGGTAAGGAAAGATCTGAAAGCTACTGTTCTTCTGTCTTCATGTTTGTAGACTTTGTCTGGTGTTTCTGTAAAAAGAAAAAGAAATTTATACCAACTGTCCTAACGCAGATAACTGGAGGAGCAGGGTTTGTGGGTTCTCATCTTACTGACAAACTAATGATGGATGGCCATGAGGTTACAGTTGTGGACAACTTCTTTACGGGCAGGAAAAGAAATGTGGAGCACTGGATTGGTCATGAGAACTTCGAACTGATAAATCATGATGTCGTTGAGCCCCTGTACATTGAAGGTGAGTAGTCTCTGCTTTGGTATCTGCACTTTGTTGTGCTTTACCCTCGTAAGTATGTATGTCTGTAAAGAAATAAAATTTATTTTGACTTCTGGATTGGTCTACCTAATACCTGTATTCTTTGTTTATTATTAGTCTAACTTCTTTGACCCGTGTGGGGTGAAAGGTTCAGAGCACTTTCGTCTTTAAAATGAGTTCTTCCTTTCTGAGTCAGTCTGTCTGTCCCATCCATTGTCCCACGTCCCTGTGCCTGCACAGGCTTACGCACACAGCAGAGTCTGTAGTCTAGAAATGTCATGAACTGAGAAGTTTAATTCAGGGCTGCAATTACACTAGGTGGCATACATCCTGCGACTGCACATGGTCAGTTGAAAGGAGAATAAGCTCTTTCAAAGGGCAAGTCAGCTTATTTTCCTTAGTTGCCTTATGTGTCTTCTATGGAAAACATTGCTCCTACCTTAGGTGCAAGCATTCCACAGCCTGTAGAACAGGAAAATGAAAGCACTGAATTTCCCCAGGTTTTTGGTTTTTTTGTGGGTTTTTTTTTGGGGGGGGGGGGGGGGGG